GCGTCGCGACGACGGCAACGAACACCACCACGACAACCACGACGTCGACGTCGGCGGGTGCTACTAGCGGTCGGTGGTCCAGGGACGTACGGCGGCTGCGCAGGCGCACCAACAATTCTTCGACTCTGCCTGTCCGATTAAATTAAAGCTAGACTTTTGTTTTCTCTTTCTTCTCCTCTGTTCTTTCCTTTTCCCTTCGTTTTCTTCCTCGGCTTGCTCTTCCATAGTTTCTTCTTTCCTGCTCGCCTGGACTTTTCTTCTTCTCTTCCTTCTCCTTCGCCTACCCTCGGTGATTTCCAAAGGTTGCTACCTTCAAACACCTCTTCTCGTCACGCGATGGAGATTACCGGTTTTGGGGTTGCTTCCGGTGACGCCGGGACAATAATCTCAGGGGAACAGTGCTTTCGACGGGGAGTAGTTACCTCGCCTCTTTCCTCGTGATCCCATTGCTTGATCTCTCGGATTTGTCCCCGCGTTAATGATAACGCGTTAATTGTAACGCGCTTTTGGCACGAGAAGAGAGAATAACGGCGAAGTAAATAAATTAGAAGAGCAGCGACGAGTTGTAGAGAATATGAGGGAAGTTTCTTTTATTTACACAGATAGCCACGCATCCCGGATCAATTCCCTCGAGTTAAATCAAGAAACATCGCGTCCTGCGTCATATAGATCTGGAAATACTGTGGTTGTTGTCCAGAGAACCTTCTCAAGTATCGAATAACGTGTTGTAAATCTGTTGAACGAGTCAGTGACGTGCTATTAATTTTGAGTAACAGATTTTACTGACTAAGAAGAATGGTTCTCGTTTATTGAAAAACACTGTTGTTTTGAATTACAAGCGAATGTAAGTAGCGGAATATCGACAGTGAGGAAATTCAGAAAATTGCCTATCATTGTATATTAAATTAAGATGATAATCTTATCTTAAATCTTATCTTAAAATGATTATCAACCTGAAAAGTATCTCTACTCCTATACACTAAACCTGAAGAAAACCAAACCTCTGCAACAACATATCTGTCCTCCATAACACCTATCCGCAATGCCTATTTTGCCAAACGCAGCGCATAAGAGAGCTTCAACGACGATATCCAATGTATCGTTCCTCGCACACTGTCCCAGCTAAAATTCACGAAGCGAAGATTTTTGCAGACGCGAAAGTCGTGCGACACATACCGGACGCTTTTGTCATAAAAATTCGACTCGGTGAACTTGGACGTCTCGACAAGCAGCTTTATCTTCGACCGCCGTTTTACCGACGTCGTTCAGGACGACTTATCGATCCCCTCCGGCAGTGATCGTGAAGAGAGTCAACTTGCAAGAGTGGTATCGCGCGATCACGTGGCCGCAGATAAAGACCATGGATGTGCCGTTGCACGTTGCATTATTCTTATGATTTCCATAAAATCCAGTCAGCACACACACACACACACGTGCGATGTTCAAGAAGCAATCGTGGGTTATGAAGAATTGAACCTGAATTATAGAGTACTTTTTCAAAGTAACCCATTGAGAAAATACGCCGTGTTAGACGCAGAAAGAGACACTTTGCATTCGTGAAATTTTTAGTGTTGAGCGAAGTTACGCGAATACCTCGGGAATGCACTTTGCCAAAGTGACGCAGTTTATTGCTAGCTTGAACGTATTTTGCTTAAAAATACCATATAACGATGTATTGAGGAAATTCTCAGTTACGTGAATAAATAGTTAAGTTCGGAAAGTTCTCGGTGGCAAAGATTTGCAGTAGATAGTTGAAGAGGAATTCCATTTGAATATGTACTCTTTGGGAAAATCAGAAAAAGTCTTTCGTTTTTATGGCTGTTTATTCAACCCTATGAAGGGGTTGGTTTTAAAAATATTATATGAAAGGATTAGGATAATTTGCTTCTCGGAGTAATTGTAGGAAATCGACGTAATATTTTACCGATTATTCTTGGCATTAGTTTTAATCCTTCGCTTGTCTGCGAGCGTTTTAACATGCGAAAACATCGGAGGGCAATTCTTTAATGGGAAGTTCAGCAGCTCTTTCAGAGGGAACATCTCGATCAAACTTTTTCAAGATTATCATTCAAGCCTTTTATCATGGAGAAACTTGCAGGATCGCAATTCGTCTTTGTAAACTAAATTTTCTTTAAAATGTAAGACCATTAAAGCGTCGGAATTGAGTTATGAGATCGTTAACTGACTACTTCCTTGGGCGACGTGTGCGGTAGATGTCAATTTCCTGTAAATCTCGGAGAAATATTGCCTGAAGCAACGTCGATACGAGCAACAGTGCTTTTTTAGCACGCATTTTTGTCGGCGAAGCAGCTCGTCGCGTCCAATATCGAGCTGGACTACTGTAAATCTCGTTGCAAAGTCTCGTTGTATTCTTTTCGAGTTTCATCCGGTTACTGAATTCGCGAGTCATAAACGCCGTTTCTTTTTACTTTTCTTAATAAACGTGTTTCCTAAACGAACTTTGTGCGAGAATACCAATCGAGCTTTGATCGTGATATCTCTTTAATAAACTGACACGAAACGAGAGAACCCGGGTAATATCTAGATGTGTAAATATGATTTCCAAGCTCTCCAATCCCTAGGATACGTTCCATTTGTTAATTAGATTTTTACGGTCAAAGTCGCGGACTATTTTTAACGATGACTCCGCGGCTTCGCTATCGATTTATTCGACTTTTTGCGCGTCGAATGTCGAATGTCTCTCCAGGAATAAGGTCATCCCTAAAAGAAGCTTTCGCCGGACGAGAAAAAGAACACGAGGAGGGACTGTCGAAGCGTCAAAACGTTCTGAACTCGCTTCAATGTCGTGTTTTTCTCGCCGTTTATCGAAATAGGGGGAGGACTTATGGATAAGCGTCATTCGTGAACATAAGTACGACACGAGTCGTATCGAAAACATTTTACAGTAATATTCGCTTCAATTTACGACGTGCTCAGCAGCGTCTTTATCCCGCTTTTCAGCGTGAACTTTCGCTTACCTCCCATGCATAAGCGCAAACATTCGTCGTTAAAATTTATAATGGCCAATCTCCTGTATCAGTGCTTCTCGAGTAACAGAGATATTAAGATCTGGATCACAATCCTAACGAGTGGTGTGGAGAGACACTAGTTTATTCAAAATTTAGCCTACCCTGCTGAGGTAGGTACAGACGCACGATATCGTGGCGTTGTGATTTCGCAACCGGTGACGCAGGATTATATTTTTAATAATGCGACGTAAGATTATACTACTAGCAATATTATATATTACACGAAGATGCATAATCGCGCAATATTATTATCATACAATCATAAGGATGAATTTTATAAGAGATAGTGCGTACTTAAATTTTGTAAAAGAAAAATTAGAAAAATAGATGTACTCAGTAATAACTAATTTTTAAATGTACGTAATTTGTGTTCTTTTTTTTTATTTTGAAACTATACGGTACAGATTGGTCAAAATTTCATCGCTATCTCGTCGTAGCGTTTATTTTTATCAAGTGTTACCTTTGTAACTCTTCTTACAATTTAATTTAGAGGATTGCGAGATCTTTATAGACTGTTTCAATAACTACGTTATATTTTATCTGTTAGTACGCACTCTTGTGCCATATCGATCGTTTGCGCCTGGTTTCTAGTACCAAGAAATAATCTCTTCTCCAAAAGCTTTTTCAAAAACTCCGATAAATTACCATCTCTCCCCGTAAGAATCCTGGAACACCGTTCAGTTACGTGCGTAGAGGTACTCGCGTGAGAATATGCGGTTGCTTCAGCCAGGGTAATGGGATGAAATTTCCACGAAAGGTTACCCAGACAAGCTGGAAGCCTCCAATCTGGTTGGCTTCCTGCTCGCGCGACGTGCTCTCGTATCAACTCACGGATATGGATGCAATCATCTCGCTCACCACTGTCGAACAATTGGCTGTTTCATCGGGAATCAGGCGAATTTACACGAGAGGTCCTTATTGCGTTGTAACTCGTAGAAAGCGATCGAATCGTCTCGGTACTTACGGAAAGCTGCTTACTCGTAAAATCCTCGTTGTGTGGCACGTGGTTTCGCGAAAGGAGGATTAAACTTGAAGGAACGCGGTCTCTAGCAAGGTAAGCGTTTAGATCTTCTCTGTGTGTAACGACGAAGGGAAGCTTTCAACTGGGGCTAACAATTTAGGGAAAGTTCCTTCCACTTTCTAATGCGGAGGCACGTGATATTAACAGGAAGAAGATCGTTAAGGAGCCGGGATCGTCCGAACTTTATGAGCTACATTCTTCATGAGCGACGAGTCCCTGTCAGAATGTTCTTTAGCCGTAAACTTAGTCAATACTCTCCCTAGTTGCCCGTCTCCGGTGCTCGTAATTTTCTTCGCGTGTTCTTGGGGAAATCGAACACCTCGTTACAGGTGACACGGAAAGTTTGCTCGTAAAACGTTTGACACTCCCGAAAGCAACGTGAACAAGTTCTTGGCTGGCTGACTTTGCGGAATTAACTTTGAACACCGCCACAGAAAGTCGCTTTTCGTAAGAGTATTCTCTCTGTTCGTGATTTATCGTTCAAACGGAAGACAACGCTTGCTTGTTACGAGAAAATCGCGAAGTATGTAAAACGTAATCGGGTTGAATTTAAACTTTGATCGAAACGTTTATACGATTCTACTTATCACAATGGTGAAGATCGATGCTAATTGGTTTGCTGCACGGAAACATTCAGCCTTTTGAATTTTCAAATTTACCTTGAGCAGAATCTAGTGAGTGATTCGTGCGATTAAAACGAGTTTAAAATAGAAAATCACATTACGCGTGAATCTTCTAAAATATCCTCTGTTTCGAGAACGACCGCGGAAAAAAGGTAAGCAAGAAATTCGAGGTTACGTAACCGCGACGCACCCTCCCAGCTGCAATTTAGCTATGAATAATTCACCCTCGGAGAATAGAAATAAATCCATCCCCTTACACGGATGGATCCGCGAAGTTAGATCTGCGTCTGAATTTACTCTTGTGTTTTTATCTCGTGGATTATTCACATCCCGAATTACCAAGTTATACGATCAACGCAAATATTTGTACAGTACAGTACTTTCACGGTTAAAATTCCGTGATCATTATTTTTGTTCATTTGTCACTCTTCAACAAGAGAAAGGGGAGAAATATAACGAATGTAACGAATTAGATTTCATCTATAGACGTTTGTTATTGCTAGCTTTCTACTTATATCTATAAAATACCGCTTCGATACGCGGAGATTGGGTCCACATTCAAGATTAATAGCCATAGATTGTGGTATCACCGTTTATAGGCGAAAAGGATGGCACCGAAAACAGACTCGAGGTCACGAAACACTACAACGTCGAGATTCTTTGAAACAAATTAATTTTCATCGTTTTATTCGGTATAGGACTAATGAATCATTGGGATTAAATTACTACTAGGTGAAACAAAGGGTACAACGTGGTGAGATGAATCGCCAGCTATTCGAGAAAACTAAGGAATAAGAGAAGAAGGGAGAGGAAGACAGAGATAGAAATAAGATGAAAGCTCTACAGCTAATTGTGAACATTCAGTTCGCTAGGTCTTTAATCGTTTTGTTACGAAGAACAAAGAGAATCGGTTAAGAGATATTAAGTCTACAATTTCGTGCAATGGCGCAATTTTCTTTGTATGCGGGTTATTAATAGCGCAACGGTTATGCGTATACATGGCCGTTCGCGGGAGCAAACCGCACGTTCACGCTGCTTTCTATTAACTGGTATTAATCCCAGGTATCTCGTTTGCGTTCAGATTTGTTGTCAAAGGCTGAACAACTAGTCGACGACGCGACGTGCTAAACTGGAAATGCTAAAACGAATTTAATTTCGAACTACGGCATCGTATAGAATCGTACGAGTATACATCAGTTAGCTATCAATTAAATTGAAATTTCAAAGAATATCTGCATTTGTCTTCTAACGAAATATATGTTCAGTACTGTGTAGTTTTATTTAATATAAAAACTGTTTTTTAATGAGCGAACATTTTCTGTTATTACTTGTACAAACCGTGGGATGGAATATGTAAAATTTTGCATATTATAAATATATATACTTTAGAGATGATCAATGTGAAAGGAAAAGAAAGAAGTTGAAAGTTGAAAGAAACGTTTAATTCTACGATTACAAGCTCCAAAGCTTCTCCTTATCTTTTATGATTTTTTTCCTTGTTTTACTCTGAATTTATTGTGTTGGCAATATAGGAACAACGGTCAAATTCGCACGCAGAAAAATAATTCGTCCATTAACATTTTTAGGTTGATTTTTATTAAAAAATCTGTTAATTAAAGATTATTAATAAAAGATAATCTTTTAAAACAAAATAATGTTCTAGAGAAATATACATATTTCTATAAAGACTAATAAGAACAAACGAATTACGCGCGGAATTGTAAACTTGCGCAGTATTCCCTATTGAAATCTCATTGGTGGAATAAATTTGTATCAGCCAATCAGAGTGAAACCGCCAGAAATGTTTCTACCAACCGTCTTCTGCGTGTCCAATTGTTTCAGTTTTTCGAATGTGATGGACGCGATTGTGAAAGTGAATTAAATATAACAATAAAACAGGAAATGAAAGAAAAATATAGAAATATTCTGTTTTGTGATAGTGTTAGAGTGTTCAGTAATAAATTCTGTGAAATGGTATTAAAGATTTAGTCAAAAACGAATAGACATCGCGCGTATGTGTCGTCACACATGCATCGTAGTAAAATTGTATGCATCGTACAAATTGTCACGTATCATTTACGAGCTTTTAAGTTGTTAATTCAATGCTACTTATTATGTTTAAGTGAAATTAATTAAATTTATCCTGCGCTGTTCTAGTGTAAAGTGAAATTGAAGTGAATTATTCAACAATAGCAACATAATCTACAATTAACGTTCACGTCAGAAACGCTGTGTTTATGCATCGCAAGAAAAAGGTAATTTTTATAAATCCCGCTCTTTATTTCAAGAGATATTTAATATATTCACATATTTAACATATTTAATTCTATTTAACATATTTAATTTTATTTGACATATTTAATTTTACTTAACATATTTACTTTTACTCACAAAAATATTTAATTTAAAATATATAAAAAAGTGTATGAAATTAACTAAGTGATCAGGAAGTCATCGAAAACGAATGTTTAGTGCTTGATACAGATACTAGTCTAGGTTTCATTATTTGTGCATAATTTAATTTAATTGTATTGTTCATCACATGTTCCTCTGACTCATCCATACAGTTAAGTTTTCCAACTGGCACTTGCACTTCTGACAAGCCTTCTGCACAGAGGAATGTTAGATCGTAATTAATAAAAAATATATAGATATATCTTCGAGATACATTAATGATACAAAATCACATACGTAATACTTTAAAGATGTATAGTGATTTATCTGGACTACAAGAAACAACTTCTGCAACAATAAAGTTTGATACTTGTGGTGTAAAATCTGAGCCAATCTTGAGCATCTAAAAATGAATTTCATGTAAAACTGTGATTAAAAATATAATTACTATTTAAAAAAATTACCTTAAATGCTATAATATCATTAATTTTTGGTTTTGTTGTCATGACTGGATATGTTTCAAGATCTGTATTCACAAACTCTTTTGATTCTCCCAATACCATAATTGAAGCTATACTTGCGCTAACATTTGCGTTGACTCCATTTACTTCATTGCTTTGATGCTTTGCATTCACCGTGTTCTTTACCCTGTTGTTCTCAAAGGTAGGTGGAGTAGAATTATTAACCATTGATAATAAATTTGTAAGTTCATGAACAGGTGATACAGTAGTATGGACTCCTCTTATCGTTTCTGGACATGTAACTGGATTTTCTAGACAAATTTCGTCATCTATGTTATCAAAACGAATATGTTTACCAAGAGGGACAACTTTAGCATTTATAACATAGGCTTTACTAGATCTGTCTCCTTCGTTTAGCAGTAGCTGTTCAGGTTTCGAGCTTTTCCGTTTTCGTGCACGTTTTCTCCTTGCATATACATAAGGAATTTCTGCATCTGTACCTGTAATACAACATAAACAAATAGAATCTTAATACCATAAATAAGTAATACTACACTTTTGATTCAACCAAGGTGCTTACATCATTTTACTTACTTTCTTTAGAATTTTGCAATTTGTCTGTTATATCAGTAGGAAATTCCTGTTGCATAGGGCTTGACTTTGCAGCAGGAGAATTTATCGCTGTTGGTCCAATTCGTTTTGAATTTGCATGATTACTTTCTGGATCTTGTTTACCTGCGTCTATTGGTGAAACTGGGTTGCTGACGGCTAAATGAAGCTGATTTATCAGTTGAGTACTGCTTAGTTGAATATTGCTTAGTCGAGTCTTAGGTAAAACCCTGCAACACTTTGACTGAAATGATACATTATTGCAATATCACATACCTTTATTGCAAGAATTCTTACAAAACCGTTTCATTCTCCTTCAAAATCCGTACGTCCTCGTTAGGTGGTAAATATTCAACTTCGTTTAGAAACAAATCAAATGGCTCATTAATGTGGAACAGTACATTAATATGTGTTTTTACATCCTTTATATTTATCATTTTAGTCGAGTCAATAAAAATCCAACAAAAGCGATGCAGATCTTTATGGTATTTACACAAATCGAGTTTAATACGGAAATTTGTCCGGCTCATATTTTTTTTAGGTTATGCTTTCACTGTTAAGGTTATGCTTTCACTGTGAAGGCTACGTATATCATATACGCATAAATATGTACTCATGTGTATTCAAACGCGTACCGAAAATTATTAAAAAATAAATCAGATGTATATGCACAGTAATAAATTTAGGTTTTTTTATCGCATTTAAGAATATTGCAGAGGTAAAGCAATAATTTAACCGTTATATAAAAATATTGACTATCTATCGATAATTACTCTTACTGTAACGAGTCTTTGAAATTCGTAAAGTCGGTATTTCAGTTCCCATTGAACAAAATTTCAACACAAAATTTCATAAAAAAATTAATTTATCCTGTACTTTATCTATGGTGCAATCAAAAAGATTCTGTAGTAAAGATTCTGTAAAATCGTTTAGTACTTTGTTCGCAGCTAGTAAATGTAAATAAAAAATCTTACCAGAAAATTAAGCTTTTATTGTATACGTAAAATACGTAGAAAAGTATATATTATATATTATGAAAATTTTAGGGGATAAAATGAACAAAACAAGATTATGTGGAAGTTAAATATGACATCCATCTTTTATTTAATTTCTGTTAACACAATGATATAAAGTCAAGGGCTTAGACTACTTAATAATTTGTTACCACATATTTTTTCCACAACTACGCTAAAAATAGTTACAGTCGTGTTAAGTGCAGTTTGCTCAGAAACTCCATATAACGTAGATTTATTGTACGAGTCGTAAAATTCTTTAGATTTCCGTAGTGTGATGATAAGATTTCATTTATTAAACCGATTGGTCTAACATTAATCTAAGTAACACGAAATAATGCGATTGCACAGGTCAGGCAAATACATGATTTCAGCAAAAGATTTCGTCTATAATAGATAATCTTGGAGCGATTAAATAGCTTTGATCTCGAACTGTTTTACATTCAAATAAATTATCCTCTTATCGTGATGTGCGATATTTCATAATCGTTGAACGCGTTAAATTACGTGCTGACCCGCGGCTACTTAATTACAATATACCTATGTAAAATTATACCCAATGTGGGTTTCGATTCAACGAGATATCCACATCACAATGCTCTGTTATTTACATAGACTTTCTACATTTACACTAACCTATATGTATTAGTTTTGTATCTGAATAATAGTTCCGAAAACGTGACATTTTTTCACAAACGATAAATTTATGTATCATGCGATAACGCGAAGTAATAAACTTTTGCATCTAATCTTAAAACCAATGATCGTTGCATAGTATTTCCTTTAAAATATATAGACACCTCTATCTCTGTTACCTAATTACGTAAACAGAAATCGTACACGCTACTTTCTCGTTATTAGCAAGTTTACCAAGTACAACGATACTACTTAAAAAGCTATCTGCAATCGATCAGAATTTGTACGTGGTTGTTCGTTTCACCTGAACATTATTGTACTCGCGGTAACTCAGATTCTAGGCAAGGCAATCGTGTACAATAAGTTCACGTTCATCGTAATTGACAAATAAGTCGATATTCCGTTTTTCCAATACGTCTCGTTAGAAGTATCTACATGTCGTAAATAACGAATAGAACGTTTCTTCTAACGCGATATATTCGCAAACTTTTTAATCTATAGATCAAATATGTGTAATATATATATATGTATGTATATGGAAATGGAAATTATATGTATATATATGTATATGGAAATTAACCTCTTTAATTAAACGATATATATGGTATAAAGAACAGCGTAGGCAAGTGCTTGATGTAAGATTAATCGACTAGCCAATAATGCTTTATAAAATATTGTTTGGCCGTTGTACGTGTCCGTAAGTGGATAATAAGATAGTGAGTGGGCAGTGGGAAACAACCCTGAAATAGGATACCTTTGTAAGATACTTTGATATATTTGTAAAAATGGAATTCTACGGTTTGATAATTCGGAATAATTATGTTAACAACAGCATATATGCCGTTTGGATCAGTTTATATTTCATCGATCAGCAACGTCGAATAAAATCTTTAAAATCATTTTGCATCGAGAAAGAAGAATAAGGATTTTTTTTCTCGATTGCGAATGAGAACCGAACCGACTATGTCACAAGGAATAATTATCGCTGTCAGCTCAATCGCAGAGCGTTCCATTGATCTCTTCGTGGTGTTTTCTTCTACCTTGGAACAAGAGCTTCAAATTTTTCGGGACATATCTTCTAATCGGAGGCGAAATAGAGACACATCAAGTACGTTGACTCGCGCTACGCACATCGAATTGTTGAACGATAAACACGGAATAATTGAAACTCGTTTCTTTAAGAAAATTTGCTACCTAAATTTTTCAAGGTCGGACTACGAAAACTATGAACGGTACGATAACCGTATGAGAATTATAAAGCTTCCAATCGAATAGAGGCCATTTCTAAGGAAAGTGTTCTCCATTTTCAACTTGAAATTGTAGGCGGAATCTTCAATTGGGAAACTATGTTATTTTGTTTTAGCTTTCGATAATCTTAACGATATCGAATCCTCAGCCAATGAAAAAGAAGAAATTACCGTTAATGTTGAATTCCCTTGGCTAAACGTTGGCCTTTATCTTCTCGTCTACGACATCTTTAGCCGTGTAATTCTTTCGATCGACCATTCGACGATCGATCCGAAGCGTGTCGAACGTGCCGTACGGAGACGTCGGAACGTCGAGCGGGAAACATCGATCGATCACAGCGAACGGAATCGCTAATAGAATCGTCGCGGCATAGCTTTGCCCTCGCCCTTTCGATTCCCTCACCCTTTCTCTTTTAGATCAGCTTTTGGATCAGTAGCGACGAGAGGCTCTTTACGATAGAATACAGGAATTCCTCTTGGACTCGGAACGTTCACGAATCTGCTGCAAATGCTGTAGCTGCGCCGGCGATGGAACGTGAGCGCTGCTGCTACGGGAATTCAAATGCTGCGGTGGCGGCAATGATTGTCGGCGACGACGTCTCAACGCTGGGCTCAAGTTGTATTTTAGTTTCGCTTGTATCAGTAGTTCCTTAAACACCTGCGAAATGTTCAGGTTCTCCTTGGCGGACACTTCTACGAAGCCGTTCTCCCATTTCATGATCACAAGTTCTCTCGTGCTGTCTGTATCCACCTGGAACAAGCGTGTAAAATAGTTTGAATACAAATTTAATGTTTCATATTCGTATTTTCAAATTCAAATTTCCAAATGCGAATTTTTCAAAATCAGACCCGTCGAAATCAAATACAGAAATTGAATGTCATAGACGAAAGAACTCTGTCGCATTCGGCTACGATAAAAGTTACCTCTTGTGCCGAGTCGGTCACGTCGACTTTATTGCCAACGACAACAATGGGCACGGCGCCTTTGGTGTTTAGGATCTGTGTTCTCAGAGTCTTCACCTCAAGGAACGTGTTAGCATCGTGAATATCGTAGACGAGAATAAACGCGTCCGCAGACTTGATGGATAGGTCTCTCATAGCCGGAAACTCGTACGAGCCTGAGGTGTCCAGGATGTCGAGCGTCAAATGTATCCCGGAAACATTGAAATCACCGTGATGCATCTCTTCTACCGTTCGCTTGTACTTTGGCGTGAATGTGTTGTAGAGGAACTGGTTAATTATCGCGGATTTGCCAACTTTCGCGGCGCCCATCACCACGATCTTGTGTCGTATGGAACTCTCCACTTGTTTTCCACCGCCGCTGTCTGACTCTGACAGTCTCTCATTTCTGAAATATATTTAGAAATATCCTCGATAGAGTCTAGCAAATTATAAGAAACATCGAAAAGATTGACACGTAACGAACTAATGAATTTATTTGTTTTTTCTTCTTTTTTTGCGTAACAGCTATGGTTTGAAAAACAGTTAATAACAGACCTGTACCTTAGAACGAAACACAGGGGACAAATAAGAGAGCCAACTGCCTCGTCTTTAAGGGGATAACGTCCTGACGAAGAGAATAGTGCTAATGAACATTGAAGATCCTCTTCGCTGTCTCCACGCGTTATTCAATATACGTTTTGTATAGGAGCTGTCTTGAATTTGAGTCGCTATTAGTCCCCGGAATATCTGCTGTGTATAGAGCATGCAAGTGGAGGTGGTGCACCAGTGCTTTTGCATGCACCAGATAACAACTGTTCCTAAGTATCTCCGTAATCATCCACGCTTATTACGAGTAGAAGTCAGACGCGGTTATTACCGAGCGTACAAAGGAGAAGAGCGCGAGCTTCTCTTTTTGCGAAGACTAGCCACAAAATTAAAGCTCGACCTAGCTTAAGAGCGAGTCAAGAGGAGGTCAGGGGATCGAAGAGGAAGTAAGGGGAGCGAAAAGAAGAGGAAAAAGAGCAGAGAAGAATGGTTGATGCTTGGAATTCGTTTCGAGAACGATGGAAAATGCACTTTCACCCGTAAATCGTTTTGTTCTTTCCCATGGGTTCGTGTAATTCTTTCGTTTGTTTCGTATTAGCGGCGATAGTATATTCCGCGAATGCAGGAAGGAAATCAGTCGACGCTTGTAAAAGCAGCGTAGCTTCGTTCTCTGTGAAACAAGAGGAAACAGAGGAGCACGAAGAATACGGATAGAAGTACCTTAGGGGCAAGAAAAGGAAGATTCTCCTTTTCTTGTCGAGACGAAGGATTTTCGAGCGCGAATAAGACAGATTTCGAGACGCTTGAAAAGTATAAATCTTCTTACCTAATGTTTTTCGTCGTTCCATCTTCTTGGCCCTCTTTCAACGATGACGGTTGTAGACTGAAGCGACGACGAAATTGATGCCGACCTTTCATCATTTGTGCAGAGGTATGCCTATAAAACAGACATCATGAAAACGTTCGATGTATGAAGAAGAAAAGATTTGATAAAGGCTAATTCTCGTAGGCTAACGTTTTAACGATGAAGTATCACTTGCTTATGATTTCGAGAAATTACAAACAAAATATTGCGCCGATCGATAGGAAAGTCACGCGGCGTTCAAAGAAGTCCAAGGTCTGTCGCGTCCAGCGTCGTATCATTCACGCAAAATTATGGTTCTCTCATTGAACGACGAACGTGAAAGTCGCAAGAGAGAGGCCGATATACCGTTCGTTATTACGTTACAGATCATCTCTTTTGCATTGTGTATCAACGGAGTTGCTCTCCAAGAAATCTCTTTAAACGCCTCCGACGCGTATAACGTCGGCGTTAAATTTAATTCCATAATTTGCCTTTATCTTTCGTCGGTGACTTTCAAAATTAGTTTACATAATTTAT